TGTCAAGGTATCACTTCCACACTTTATTTCATTCAACACACTTTTTATTTATTCACAACTAACTAAATCTACATATAATGGTAACAATACATTTTTCTATTACACTTAGCAAAATTGATAACATTTTTTACTTCATTATAACTTATTCTGTCAATATACGATCAATATTAGTTGATCTCTCCATTACACTTAGCAAAATTAATTACATTTTATATTTATTTATAACTCATTTTGTGTATATGAAGTTTCAACTATTTTATTTTATTTTTACACATAGCAAACTTAACCACATTTGTTTTCTTTTGTACCTCAATTTATCAAGGTACGATCCTAAATTAAATTTGTTACAAAACAAAAACAACCATGTACAACTAAAACCACGACAAATATTGTGGAACGGAGGGAGTAACATTATTGCTGCATATTAAGGTGAGATGTTCTTCGTTACACAAGTTCCCGTCTATCATTATAAATATGCTTGCACTCAATTTGAAACACATTTTGCAAGGATAATCACATTATTTACTATATTTTTTTAACTATTCATGTCTCCACAGGTTAATTTATGCCACTTAGATGAACGATAGTTCATATATTGATATGGTTAGGATTCACTTCAGTGTTCTTAAATATCTTGACAGAGAGGTCTATGGTGTATAATCTAACAAATATCTTGATGGTGGGTTCTAAAGTATATGATTTTCTATGGTATGTGTAAGTATGTAGCCAATTCTAGAGATACCTACAATAATTTGTTCTTAAATAATTGGAGTTGCTTTGTTTACTGGTTTTTATTGTAGTCAAAGAATTATACTTTTTTTATTTTGCGTGCAAACAAGTGGGATTTACAGCCAAATCTGTCGTGATTAAGTGTAACTGCGATGAGGTGATTGAAAAAATTTAAATTTTGAATGTGAGATGGTCAGTGTTTACCATGATGTACAAAGACACATGACACACCTTAAATTAGTTGCATGCCATTAAGGTTCAGAAGATGGACACGGTAGACAAAATGAAATTGTGTTGGTCTAGCTACAGTCCAGGGGAGGTGTTAAGTGACTGTGTGTTGCAAGGTGCCATGCCGATGGGTTTGGCTCCTCTACAATTAGGTTATTACTGTACAAGTATATCAGTGTCAAAATCTGCTGTCTAGTTGCAATCCAATGGCTCTCCTATCCATCCTTCACACTCTTTGCAGCAATGGAGGATCTCAACGGCGATAGGCCTCACGACGGCAGCGCAAGGCATGTCGGTGCGCCAGCGCCAACAACTGGGATCAACTCAAAGTGCATGAACGCAGTGCTGAGCATGTTGAACTGCCTATCCTAGCCGCGTGACCCAGCTGGGAAAGACGTTACTCCTAGCCGCGTGCTTGCAGCTGCCAAATGCCAACCAGGAGAGACGTCGAACTCCTCTCAAGCTGCCTACTCACAGCCGCCGAGATATCCTCTAGCCGCCTCTGCACAGAATCGACTATGATTTTATCCTGTTTGGCTCCACGAGGTATTTTCTGTTCCCACATAGCCAGCGCAATAGTGAAAGAATCTCGTGCCCTTTAGAAACACAACACAATGAGAACGCATGAGACGATTGAAGACACCTGGGCCAAGGCATGTCAACATCGGCTGACCAGGAAAGAAGCAGAGTAGCGGAGAAAGAATATTTGAGAAAAGAGGAAGAGCGGTGTTTGCTGAAAGAGGAGGAGAGGAAGCCAGAGGAAGCAACAAAGAGGAGGAGGGAGAGTGAAAAGGATATGTTTTACTGAAGAAGTTGGAGGTTAAGTGCCTTATAGTAGCATACTAAGTTGTGGGATTTTTTTAAAAATTCATACAGGAAGAGCCTTACCAGTAGGCTTTTCATTGCAGTGTTTTCATGGATTGGATGACACTCTTCCTCTTGATTGGTTTATTTAGGTAAGTTCATGATCATACACATGAAAACTATGACATGGAAACATGGAGTTTTGCGGGTAACATGAATTACATCGGCTTTTCTTTTTTCCAACCTTTTGTTTGGAATAAATATTTAGTACAACCATTGTCGAGTACTGAGCAACAAATCAGCTCCAAAGCATTCATCCATTTTCCTTTCTTTGTATAACGGGTTCAGTCAGATAATGACATGCGATTAATATCTTGTTGTTTGGGAGGTTTCGCCTATATGAAAATTAATGTTTTTGTTGACAATGAAGATTAGAATTTTGTACGCATGCTCTATAGTAAGTTACCATATTCAGATTAGTTGTCGAACTAACAAGAGTATGACCTGCTCAAATATCGTGATGGTTCCGTGAGTCTATTTTAGATGCCATTTTAGTTTGATGTCTTTTTATTGATTTTTCTTTATGATAATAATTGAGAAATAGAGAAGCATTGGTGTATCATATATTACCATAGTACATATTTTTATTATATTTAGTCATTTCCTTTTTCGTAGACATCCTCTATGTTGCTTAACAATATATTTTTGATCTGGACTTAATTTGGACATGCAAAGTGGGGACTGGCATGTCTAACCAAACTAATTTGACTATTGGAAGTTTTGATTTGGATATTTGTCTCTTCCTCGAGACTTATAATACAAATTACCTAGGAATACATTCATCAAGCTTGGCAAAAACTAAGGGGGCTTATAATATGACTACAGAAAAAGCTAATAAGTGCTCACATAAATTTGCTAACCTTTAAATTTATTTGCATCTCCTTCATTTGTCCATGCCGTGTAGTTTTTCCTCCACATGAACATTATTATTGGTAATTGAACATGTAAGATGAAAAACTATGTAAATATTAGACAACTACTACCTATGTACCAAAATATAAGACGATTTGCGGGCTAAACTAGCCTTAAAAACGTCTTTGATACAGATGGAGTATTTTCGTAACCATTTGTTGACAACGGAGGTGTGCGTTGCACATGCAAACTTACTAGTATTCTACGAAATGTCATTTTATATACACGAGAATTTACACATTTAGTCATTTTATCTTGCTTTGATATGAACATAGTTTGAATGAAACTGGTCGATCACACAAATAAAGGTGAGGTAAATCGAATGCGGATCACCAAATCGCCCCTAAGTATCAAGATCAGACAGTTGAACTATACATTTTGCCATCCAATGACAGTCAACAAATTTTTTGGACCAACTCGGGCGTATGAAATCCACAAATGGGAACCAAATCTAGGGGAGGTTTGCAGGCGTCCGGACCTCCGCCACGTCAGATTCCGACGTGCCCCGCCCACCAAAATACCACACCCAGAGCCCTTTCTCCCTCACTCTATCTCTCCACTTGTGCTCCGTATCCGCACCTTCAGAGACCGATGCCGCACTGTGACACACCCGCCTTGGACTGTGCCATCATTCCACCTCGAAACAGACCGTAGCCCAGACATGCTTCGCCCCCTGCCGATGTCGTACATGGCAGACACCACTCGCGACAAGTGTTCGGACAAATGCCATTGCTGCATTTTGACATTATTGTTGTTTATTCTGGAGCAAACATGATGACAATGTACTCTGACGAAGGAGGATGAATTGTTCTATGAGGCGTGATTGGCCATATCGATACACTACTGTATTAAGATAGTTTCACACACGTCCTAAGATGTCTGTTTTTTTGAGACAGTCAGACAGTGTCTGTTGGACTCACACGTCCCCTAAAAAAAGTTGGACTCACACGCTCCCGTTTGACTTGCCGAGATGTACACGCTCATGTGTCAATTTGTAATACCATCTACTGTATCTTTGATCAAAATTAAAATTATGTTGTGAATCAATCTATTGTTGGATGGTTAGGAGGATAGTGGTATCCCTAACGCATTAGGGTTTAAGTCCTGGTGCCAGCATTTATTCTGAATTTATTTTAGAATTTCCGGCGATGCGCGTTCAGTGGGAGGAGACGTTCTCGTCAACTACGAAGCGCTTACGTGACTTTGTAAAGTCTCAAGATGATATGCTGGCTCAGTCTCTCGGAGGTGCTCATAGGAGTAGGGGATGAGTGTATGCGCGTTTATATGAGTGCTTGAGTCTGTACTGTGTTAATTTTTTTTAAAAAATATGTTTACACGCATTTAACCACCGCAGCCCGCATTTCCTTTTTCCCCGTCGACATCCACAGTTTGTGTGGACTCAACAAGCACCATTTTTATGTTCTTGACTCGTACCCAAAGTCAATGGTTCAAGGTCGGGATAAAAACCTGTCCGGCCGGCAACCATCGCCCGCAAAAATAAATAAACGAATTCCGAAGCGAAAGCAATCTATAAAGCGCGCAGATGTAAAAGGGACAGCGCCCCGCACCCACGGCACTTCCCAGCCCTGCTCTCCCCTCCCCCTCCCCTCCCCACTCTCTCCCCCAAATCGGAGAGCGGAGGAACCCACAGACCCATCCATCCATCCGGAAAGTCGAGCGAGATGGGCGCCGCGAGCAGCAGCTGCGCCGCCGGCCCGTCGTCTTCGTCGCCGCCGCCGCGTCGCCGGCCGCGGATCGGCCTCGGCGGGTGCTTCGGGGCCGGATCCTCCGCGCGCGACGGCGGGGGCCTCGCCGCCGCCGCCGCCGCGGCCGCCTCCTCCTCGCGCGCCCTCCAGGTAGTCGCTCCTGGCCTTCTAGCGCCGCGCCGTCGCTTGGCTTGAGGTACCGGGGACGGGGAACAAGGTTCGGTCGCCTGGTGTCGAGGGATTTGTCGGTGGTTACTGTTCCTGGGTCGTGGGATTGGGGATGGTGATTCTGGCGGCGTAGCTTTGGTTAGGAGAAGCCATGGACTTGCGTCCGGAGCTTTTAATCACCATTTCCTTCGTACCGCTGCTTGCTCAATCATGATGAGTAGTAGTATGGGCTATGGACGAGGGTTGACTAGCTGAATGAACATTTATGTCCCTTCCTTACACATCCGTGCCATGCAAACATGATTACCTGCCTCTGGATTTACTAGCCTTAGCTATATTTTCAACCCTCATAATGGACATGAGTGGAGAGCTCGCAGAATCTGTCATTCCACACTAATAGTATCGGGTCTCTTGAGTGACAAGCTGAGCTAAATCTGTGAAATTGCAACATTTCTGTATGTTGAAGTGCCAGTGGGGTTTCATGCTTTCAGTGGATAAGGTTGCTCTGTTTTCCTTCTGTTTTGTTATCTATGTTGTTGACTGATGTCAGGAAGGTGTATTGTGCAGGCAGCAACTCGGCAAGCAGAGCGAGCAGCGGCTGGGCTAGATTTCCAGCCTTCCCTGTCTGCTAAGGATCTTCGCCACACCAGCGAGCCAGACCCAAGAGTGCATCCGTCTTCAAGCACCATAAGTCACCGCCTCCGGTTCAACCACCTGGACTGTCACGAGAACAAGGAGCATGCCCTGCGAATTAAAGATGCTGAAACGAGTGGTCTGGCGAGTTCATCAGGAAAGGATGCCGTGATTAGGGGAAATCTCAGTAATGAAGCTGGCAATGATGAGAGAACATCTGGGGAAGGGGTTAGTCCTATGGCACAAGAGCTTGTAGAACCTGCACCTGATAATGTCCATATTGACGCAGTTTTCATTACAGAAGTTAGTGGCTCCTTGTCCCAGTCTGATTTCCACTCCTCGCTGATGACATCTGAAAGGATCATGCCTGGCTTGGAAGACGGCGAGACAGCTCTCCGCAGGACTTCATCCAGAGATGTTTTGTCAAGTGAAAGATCAGATGTTTCTCAATCCAGCTTGACATCTGTGTTGCCTGCTACTTCAAGCGCATCATCCATCGTTGGTGAATCAATTCCAGATGCAACTGCTAGCAGAGAAGATGTTCCAACCATATTCAGTGTGTCTCATGGTCAGATTGGTGGCAGTACAGTGCATGAAGACATGGTTAGCATTTTCTCAAATGATGGCCCAGAACACCCCCGAGATTCCAGCAATGGTGAAACAAGAAGAAATCATAGAAGAGTCCTATGGGATTCATTTTCAAGACGTGGTTCTAGAGGTTATCTAGATTCAGACACTGATGATCTGGGATTTTACAGTAGATGGCTAGACCTTGGTGATGATCTTTTTGGTGATGAGGTTGAGGAGGCACGATACTTTCATCGTAGACGCCATGGTTCAATCAGAGTAAACCAGTATTCAAGATCTCGGGTAATTGCTCTGGCCTATGACAGCTATGCCTACTCTTTCATATGTTGCGATTCCATATTTAGGAAATGTTATTGGTGTCACCATGTCCAGATTAAGTTAATTGTTGATGTTGGTTTGCACCATTATCTGAAGATTCTGAACAAAAACATGTACCTTTAATCATCATATATTTTTGTCTCTATTTGCTTTCAGCATATTCAGAATTCCGTGAACTGAACCTACTTTATGTGCTGCATATGCTGTTTCATTTCTGCACTTCTTTTATGCTTATGCTAGATATTATTGTTTTCTACTCCTTCATCATTTGCTGCTTGATCCCATGCACAATGTGTCCTGAAGATGGTGCTATTGTTTTGTTACAGATTAGGGAGCACCGTCGTGCTATTTTTGATAGTGGGAACGGACAAAGTACTGCTGCTTGTCCTTTGGGGATCCACCAAATTGGCAGATGCACCTGTGATGCATTCTTGGTCGCTGAAGAATCTAGTGCTCGCGCAAGTATATCAAGAATTGTCATGTTAACGGAGGCATTATTTGAGGTTTGCTCTTTTCCTTCATTTTTTAAATATGTTTATTTCAAGTGTTGAGAACTATTTAGCATTCAGTATGTTGAATTTGTGTTCCTCAGGTTTGATTCATTGGATTGTCATCATCATTCTAGTTGTGTTTAGAAGAACTAAGAGACACAACTGCATATATGTTATATATATAGTACGAAGAATTTTGACAATACTGCTCTGCTGCTTTACTTCTGAATTTTGGAAAATGTATGTGATTGCCATGTGCAGCTGTTACTCCAGTTACAGACTTCAGTACAGCAACTTGATAATTTTACTCAGATTCATATTGAAATTTGAAGTCACTGCATTAGACGGGAACTTCAACTATTTCCTCTTTTGCCTAAAGGTCGCGTCAACCTGCTTGAATTAGTAAATCACCAGACAACAACAAAATAAAATTGGCCGCGTAAGTTGCAGAACGAAGTCAGTATTCCAGGGATTGTTTTGTGGCTATGTCTGTATGATGGTTAATTAATTTATGGGGCCAAAGCACCACCAGAAAATTAGAAATGGGAAGTTTGATAGTTCACTTTATAGAGGGATGTAAATTGTAATTAACGTTAATTTGCACCCATTGACTGAACTAGGAGTGGAATGTTTAAAGGATGATTACTTCAATTTCACTGATCCTTTGCTGTTTTTGTGTGAGATTTCTTTCCTAGTTACTTAGTATGCTTATGTGCACAAATTTTTTCCAGGTATTGGATGAGATTCACCGGCAACCCTCATCACTTTCACTTTCCATGGCCTCTGCTCAAGCTCCAGAGGCTGTGGTTAATTCATTACCATGTAAGAGCTACAAAAAGCTTGAGACAGCCCAATGCAGTGCTGATATGGAACAGTGAGCTTCTTGTCATTTTAATCTATCTAATTTTCCTAAGGAAGCAGTTTTACTAATTCTGATATTGGTATGTTTCTGATAATTGCTTCAAATAAACCTCCCAACGGTTTTATCTTACACCTATTATAATCCAGCCAGAAACCATATTATGAGACACTGAATAATAATCTATACAATTTTAATTGCTAACTATAGGCATTGTTGACATCTTAGAGAGCTACGAAGGAAGCATGTTTTGGTTAATACTGTCTTCCATGACATAATATCTATCACAATGAGCTAGGTGTTAAAATCACCATGTCAAGTTGAATTTACTAGACACAGTTTGCACTTTGCGGACTTTGCATGTTTTGCTGCTAGCGCCTGGATACAGGGGATAACAGTGTTGTGATAACTGATGAGTATAAGTTTGTGTGCAGCATCTAGAGACCCTGAATCGTGTGGATGATCGCCGTTTGACACCCTTCTTCTTTTGGTCTTCACAAATCTGTTATGTCTAGCACCCACGAGTTGAGAATGATTATATTGTACATGTCAGATATTGAATTTATTGTGCACTTGAAGCTCGATTTTGTGAGGCCTGGATTCTCTAGCTAAAAATAAGGACATCTCTCCATAAAGCTATCATAAGTCCCATGTCAGAAATCTTGAAATATAGTTTGGAATTGCAAGTTAACGCTTGGATCTCTTCTTTTTCCTGGTTGATTCTTTTCATTCAGAGTGGTCCTGGGAGATGCTGAAATGTTAACACTGTGCTTGTCACTTTCTTCAGGTGCCATATCTGCTTAACTGAATATGAGGATGGAGATCAGATAAGAAGTCTCCCATGCAAACATGAGTTTCACCTGCAGTGTGTCGACAAGTGGCTTAAAGAAATACACAGGTAAGAAAAAAAAAGGCCCCTCCTGTTGCAAAAAGACAATTTTACATCACCGATAATGCGGGCCTGTTTAGCTAGCTATCTCCTGCTAAGGTTTTGTCGATGCAATGCTGCAGGGTGTGCCCGTTGTGTCGTGGGGACGTCTGCGAAGGTGTTGCCTCTTGAAGACCTTGGGCACCGGCTCACCCCCTCAAGGCGCCTCTTGAAGATGGTAGGGCCGGCACATCTCTTGCAGCCATGGACGAAGCTGTTTGGTTGGTCTGGAGAGGGCTGGTTACCCATTGCTGAAGCATGCGATTTCATGCATTGATTCGACATGTCAAGTTCCCAGAATATAACAATGACCTGTACATATCTTTTGTAGCCTTATCCCATGTATGACATCATGTACATATGTGCGAAAATTTGATCCGATTCCACCATATTCGAGATCTATATGTATCCCCCATGTGACAATGATGAATCCAAGTCAATCTCTCCATCAGGAGGAGACATATTTTTAATGTAGTATGAATTGTGCCTTCACTACATTATAGCCACATCGAATGGTGATAAATTCGCATGGTCCTGAAACTCATAGAGTGCTCATGTTAGTCTGAATCTGCATTTGCATTGTCCTGAAACTCATGCAGAGTGCCAATGTCAAAATTGGAATCTGTAGAATTTTAAGTTTGAATTTGAATTGGTAGGGGCCGCGCGAACGCGTACCCTCTCTACCATAAATTATGACGTCCACTCTCCCAACAAGGGGAGATGGTAGGCCAACGCACTCGCTAAGTGCAATGCGAGCCAATGATCTAGGCCACGGCCCTTCTTGATCAGCCGTCGACCCCGTCCAGGTAAGTAAGTTTCAACATTGCCGCGTGGGCTGCATATGTAGCCGCCCCTCCAGGCCCAAGGCTACTCGGTTGCCGATGTGGTACTAAACTACCGCGGGCTCTAGGTTGTTCGTTCAGAACATAGTGGATACTAGGGATCAAGTCCTAACAAAACTAACTCGATTACCTGATGAATCTCATCCAACTCCTCACTGACCAACGAGCCTATGAAGGAATTACTCACTTTCGGTGGGGAGCATCATGGAATTGGCAATGGAGAAGGGTTGGTGATGACGAAGACCGAAGATCCCCCTCTCCGGAACCCCAAACGGGCTCCAGATCTGGTCTCCCGCGTGAATCGTGATAATTCTTTCTCCCTGATTCTTCCTCCAAATTTAGGTATTTAAGGAGTTAGAGTCAGGGTCTGTGGGGCCACC